TACTACTACTACTACGGCTACTAGTATTACTACTACTACTACTACGACTACTACTACTACTACTACTACTACTACTACTACTTCTACTTCTACTTCTACTTCTACGTCTACTATTACTACTACGACGACGACGACGACTACTACTACTACTATAGACAGCTCCTACTCCTACTCATACTCCTACTCCTGCGACGACGAGCAGTGAGGTTGCTCTCATGGTGATGGAGCCAATGATAGGCGACTGGGATTTCTAGCTAGACACAAGACGATGTGTCATCCTGTGCGGAGGAGTGGAACTACGACAACCCAAGCTGCTGGGCCCAGAAGACTCTCGATCGCACCCATTGCGGCAGAGCGTTAAAGTTGGTCTGCACCTTTGGAGAATTGAGAGCTGGCTAGAAAGCCCGCCGCCCTGCAGCGCCAGCAGGCATGGAGATTGTGACAGCGTGCCGGGACCAGACGGAATTCGGGGTTGGGGGCGGGTGCGGAAGGCACATACCGCAATGAGAGTCTGCGAGTGCCTTACGGTAATTGTCAAGCCATACCCTCGCGAAACCTCGAGCTTCCAGAGGCTCAAACGACTGTAATATGAATAGTAACAGTAGTAATAAGAATATCAATAATAGTAGTAACCATAAAAGATAGCAATAATCATAGTCAAACCTCGCCATGTCCTGCGCAGAATGCCCAGGCATCCGATCTGTGCCCAGGGGGCGCTGCAATCGCCGATTCACATCGAGAGGCGACGGAAGCCTTGCAACGGAATGGGCCCGGTCTCGTCATTCCAAGCTTAAACCTCAACACCCAACTTCCCCTTACGGCAAAGAGGTTGGGGCTGCAGCCGTTGCGAATGGGATACTGCGGCATTTGCAGGAAAGAAGAGTAGTTCAGCTGCAGGCCGACGGTGAAAACGCAGGGCAAGGACAATTTCCTGAACAAGTGCAGCTGGCGTCCGGTGACTGGGTTCTTGACTATTTCTTCCAACCTAGGGTACCACAACAGGGTATGTAGAGCTCTCGTTGAGAGCTCAAGTGTTGACGATGTTCCCGTTTATAGATCTCCGTTCAAGTTACCATAATAAGAACACAGTACAATTAATATAGGGCCCTAAATAATTACCAATAATTTTTTGGGGGTTCCTCATTATAAATATAGAAAAATACACCAAAATCCTATTCTAATTATTAAGGCCCCTACATTAGTCCGCACAGTCCTATGATGGTGGCTCAGAGTCCCTAAACACTAAAACTTCTGGGGCCTTTGAAACCTGAGTGAACAAACTGCCTTTGACCTTGTGGGTTTTCTGAGTGCTTTTGTCGCCCAGAAGCCCAGACATGCGATGCTGCAGCGGCACAAATCGGTGGAGCTTGTGAATCGGCAGTTTCCTTCTCTTCTTGCGTCACGCTTGAACGTGGCTACTATGCAATGTGATTTTCATTGGACCCCCTAAGCCCTAAACCTCTGGTCATCTCAGCACTCTGACCACCTTCGAGCCAAGGTGACAGGCTTGCATGTCGTGCCCGCGCCCCAGGAGGGGACGCACTGAGTGGGCTGTGCGGGTCGAGGAGCTAATTTGCCATGATCTACCACAATAGAGTTTAGGGTTTGCCTTTGCCTCTCTTGGAAAGCTAGAGAGATCGATGAAATCATACTGCTAGAAGCACTTCAGAGAGACCTCGTTCAAAAAAGGGTATTCTGTACCATAAGATACCCAAGCATGCCGTGACATCATCATAAAGACCATAGGATGCCAAAGAGATGCCACAAGATACCAAGAAGTACCATAGGATACCAGAACATACCGTAGTGTATCATGACACATTGTAATGTACACCCATGAGTCTCGCAGTCACATGTGGGATTTTCAGGCGAGCGCACCCCAATATAGACCCTACACAGTAGGATCAACAACGAAGAGGCCCCCCGCGCCTCTGGGCTCGCTCTAGAAGGCAAGCACACAGTGTCAAACCCCAATCGACAGAGGGATGCCTCTGAACATGCCCTGTTAGCTCGGCCTTTTGGGTTTCTCAGAAAGCTGGGTAATCCAGGAACCAAGGAATCTGTTCCGACATGTAATCTTGAGAGTTGCTCAGCTTATGTTGCCTCGCTCGCACTAAGTCGTAAGACGGAAAGCCTCAATAACCGAGCCACAAAATGAGGCGAGAGATTCGGCCAAAGGCCATCGCTCGCAAGTCGGGTCTTGCTCTGTTCCTTCAGTTATGTTTGTGTCGTTGTCTGTCAGCTCTTTAGGGATGTAGAGATCCAAGCCCCGGTACACGAACCTGACGCCCCAACCCGAAGCACTACATCCAGACATCGCCGGAGCCCTGTGTCATCACCTGCCTGCTCAATATCTAGAGGTTCCCTTCTAGAGAAGGTGCCGTATCTAGCGACCGCACAGCAAAAGGCTCCAATTCCATTTCCCCCAGCCCAACCCTAAAGCCTGCAGCATGAGCTGGGTCGAACCCTCCACATATTTGGTCAGAGCCGCTTGGGCATCTCAGGAATTTTGGAAAGGGCCTCGCCATTCCGACCAACCAGATGGGCAGCTTGCTTGATAGAGTGTAGACTTCTGTGGCCCATCCAGAAAGATGCATCGACTTTACGTTCTAGTAGTAGTAGTAGTAGTAGTAGTAGTAGTAGTCGTAGTCGTAGTCGTAGTCGTAATCGTAGTCGTAGTCGTAGTCGTAGTCGTAGTCGTAATAACAACAAGAACAACAGTAATACGGGTAATCTTGATATTTAAGAAGGTTTGCAGTAAGATGTAGGTTGTTTGAGGCGATGAAGACCATAATCTTGTATGTCCCCTGGCAAGGCAGATTTTACAATAGAGAGCCCGAAAGCATGGGGAATCTAGAGTTGAAGGTGCAAGGAGGTACAAGAGAGAGCGGCGGAGCGCTGTCTCAGAGTCCCCCCCCGCCCCCGGCAAACTGGGTCAATGTGTCCAGGGTTCTAACGTCCCTGTTATGGGTTTAGGGTTCAGGGTTTAGGGTTTAGGGTTTAGGCCCAGGCGAGTGTGCTGGGGACCGGGCTGCTGTGTACGAGGCCTGCTGTAAAAGGCCCAGGCGACAGAAGTAGAGGCTTCAGCACATCGTGGTAGCACTAGCAGCATGTGAGTCGATCTTGCGTCATCCGCCCGTTTAGTCATCAGCCCCACATTGGAGGATTCCACCAATAGTTGAGTGGACCCCATATTGTTACTACCATTCTTAAGGTCGTTAGTACTTCTGACTATTAGTAAGCATTAGTATCAGCAGTATCTTAATTGCTATTGTTAGCATTAGTATTACTATTGTTATTGTTGTTATTCATATAAACTATCATTACTATTGTTATTTCCATCAATTATTAGGGTCATTATCACGGACGCACAGCCAGGCTACATCACGCTGACCGGCGAGGACTGACGCCCCTCTGTACGAGTACTCGAGCATAGCACCGAGCAGCAACGGACGACGGCGCTAGCGACGACGACGATGGCGAACTCGACAAACCCTAAACCCTAAACTCGGGCTGGTCCTTGCTAAGTGGCAGGGAAAAAAAAATTAAACTCTTGACGAATGGTTTTTGCCACTTCTGATTGAAATCGGCAGGATGGCTTTCCCGACTTCTTCGAGGCCCGGGGACCAAGTTTGGGTTTCGGGGCCAGAGCGTGGCTCCCAGTCCCCACCTCAGCCCACCTCCATCACAGCGTCCTTTCGAGGATGCAGCTTCTTAGTTTTCAGGATGCTGGATGGTTTCAGCCCGTGCTGTTGATTGCAGGAGGTTTCTTGGGTTCCACGTAAGGGTGGCACACGAACTGAGCTTCTTCGCCTTCGGCATGTGGGACTTTTGGGATCTTTGCTGTCGCATTCCGATATCTCGACCAGGTTGTGCAGCTGCAGCTGCACATGCCCTCGGAGCACATGATTGACGGCAAGAGCTTCGCTGCGGAGCTTCAGGTCGTGCACAGGCCCGTTTCGACAAAGGGCGCCTCCGGCTACGACTCAATCCTAGAAGTTTAAGGGGCCTAGATGATGTTTATAGCACTGCACCTGAAAGCCGGAAACCTTTGAATCCTCGCGCTCACGAGTACCTCCTCCGGGGGCCTCTGCTGCCTCATGGAAGCTCTGCAGGAGTTTGAAAAAGCTTAGTTTACCAACTTGCCTTAACCCTGAATCGTCTCAGTTGATTTGTCTATGAATAGAAAGCCCTTGAGTCCCTATGCCCTTGCAGCCCCTGCGCCCAAAACTGCTAACAGCTGCACGGAAATCGATGTTTTGGGTTCAGGGTTTGAGTTTGGCGAAGTGGGAAACGACAGTTGGTTCCTGACGGTTGGATTTTTGTGGTTGGGATTTTCCGACACAAATTTGACCAAAACGAGATATCGCAGTTGACATGGCAAGCACCTGGCACTTTACCATGGGTTTTCGACAGGCATCAGGCGACGGTGACGCAAGGAGTCAACAGTGCGGAGTCCTTCCCCTTCGTTCTTTGGCGGCATTCGGTCCCAGGTTCTGAAATGGTAAATCTCACGCGGGGCTCGGGAGATCTTGGTGAAAGGGAAGGGGTCTTTGAACCCAGACCAAGCCCTTCGTGCTACCGGGCCAGTGATGCATCGGAGCCGTGTATGATCTCCTGTCACTAACTGGGGAACCATGATGAGCTGAACTTGCCGTGGGACCATGTCTTAGCCAGGCAAAAGGCGCGTGTGAACCGGAGGCCCGCAGAGGAGCCACAGACACCTAAAAGGTACCATGGTGAATGGTCGGGTGAGCAGACTTTCCTCTGTAGTTGTCTCTCCGTTTCGCTTTCTTTTTCAAAATTAGTCCACCTATCAAGTCAAGCATCACTAGCATGTTTGCGACGCGCACATTCGGACGAACTTTGATGGTGCCCAACCTTCTTGAGTCAAAGCCTATGTCGCACTTGGTCAACCTGCCCTATGCGTCCTTTTCAGTGCCGAGCCCGTCGAAACCCTACAGTGCCAACCCATCCACATGTGTCAGCGCCCGGGCCTTTCGATATTTCAGGAGCCTGTCTCTGTGTTTGTCATTTCATATGGCCTGACACAAGGTCACGGCTTCTTTCATGTTCCAGATGGGCGAAAAGGACAGTGGCCAGACATGCAAGCATGTAGGTCTGTGTGCTCGCTCCTTTTTCACAGTCAACGAAACAGATTGCGAGTCAGTGGCGGATAGTGCATGTCATCCGTGTTTCGGTGTCAGCTACAAGATGGGTTCCTGTAGAACATCTAGCAGGGAGCTAGGAACCTTCTGAAGATCTGCAGCTGCAATGTTTTGGAGATTGCCACAAAGCGATGGAGGAAGACAGGCAAGAACCACGGCCACGGCATGAAGGTATCGCAAGATTGGGAAGAGCACCAGGACAATGACCTGCCGTCGCTGTCAGCGACAGCATGTACAGCAACATGAGAGACAGAAGCAGCAGCAGCAGGAGGAGGACGAGGAACAACGGCGACAACTTCAGCAGCAGTCGCGACGACGACTTAGTGTGAAGAAGACACAGCAGCACAATACTTTCAGCGTTGGCCGCAGCAGCAGCAGTAGCAGAAGTAGCAGCAGGAGCAAGAGCAAACCTACATGGACAACAAACCAAAGTCACAACCACAACCACAGCAAAAGCAGCATGAGCAGAACTAGGCACCTCGTTGCGGGGGTGAGGTCATGATAGTGCCAGGTCGTTCTTGTGCTCTGCGCTCTGATGCTTGCGGCTTTCCGGTCTTGTTGTTTTGGCTGGTGGTCGTTAACGTTCTTGAAGTGGTTCGGGCGATGGTTTTGGCGTTGGTACCGTTGATGCTGCAGCTGACAGATTATGCAGGGCAGCTGTCATTAGTGAGCTTTCGTTCAGGTTGATGCAGATGATGCGGGTTACAAGGTGTGCTTACGGTGTAAAGCTCAACGACAGCTGATATTCGGATTGTGCCCGTGTCGTGCAAGGTGCGCTTCTGAAGCAGTGCCTGGGCGTGGAATAGTCGTGGAGAGAGCATGGCTGCAACGACACCTGACGCCATAATCGATACGCCGAGTAAGCACTGTAGAAATCTTATCCCAACTGCTCCTCTTCCGATCGCACACCCCAGCCCTGGCCAGCTCGATGTCAACGGCATTGTGCTTTGAGACCTCCTATGTAACGTCATCGAGCATGCCCCGGTCATGTAAGGTTGAACCATTGGGATCGATGCTGATGCCAGTGCTGTTACCGATGGGCGCAAACGAAGACTGGCCGCCATGCTGCTGCTGATACTAGTGACGCTGACGGTATTGATGAATGATGATGACTCTCGGCATCATCGCCATCATGATCATGCTGATGAGATAAAACTATGGGCGAAGAACGAGAAGAAGATGATCATGATGAGTGCAGTGAGCGCAGGGGAATGCGCTGCAAAGGCTTCCAATTACAGGCGTCATGGGCGATCTGTGAAGAAGCATCATTTCAGGTGCCGCCTCCTTTCGGGCAGTATAAAGAACACCTCCCAGCTTGAACTCGCTGAGGTTCTTCCTCCCCGGCGTTCTTGAGCCAAACACCTTCCGCAGCATGGCGAATGAGGAACGCTCAAGTAATACAGTAGCTTCCAGGGTTTGCACTGATAACCCGGCAACACCTCAAGAGGCCTGGCTGCAAAGAGGGAAGCAACACTTCAAAAGCCGTCATAGCTCCTCACAGCGTGAACCCTGCAAGCAACCTTAAACCCCAGGCGGGGGCCCAGTGCGATCCGCAACCCTAAACACTCATCAGAGTGAAACCTGCCGTGAGTTCTCTTGTTTTAACGTCTGACCAGTATCGCTGCAGACCTTGCCCGGCTTTGTCCGAGTGTGAGTGTCAAAAAACACTCATCAGACCTCGAAGCACAGGCGGTCCGAGTGTGAGCACCGAAACCCTCGACAGCACCCTCCAAGAAACCCCGCTAGAGCCTTCACAGTACGTAGCCCTTCTAGTCACAGGGACCCCTAGGGTAGGGGTAGGGGATTATACTAAATAGGCCTTACTAATTAAGGGTCTCTATGATCTAGTAACCTCTTCCAGCAGCCCCAACTAACCAGTTTAGTAGTTACTCTAGGCGGTTATCAGCTTCCATAAGGGGGTTGAACCAGTGGTTGATACATAGAAATCCGATGTATTAACAGCGGTCGTCCCTTGTGGTCTTCTCTCTTGTCCCCGGTGCATTGGGGAGGGGTGGGGACATTCGAGAATTTGGGGGCTAAAGTTTGTGGTACTCAGGTAATGAAAGAACTGCAAGAAAGCCCTCAACCCTCGACCCTGAACGCTTAACTCCAAACCCCTCAGCCCTAAACCTTATCATCCCAAGGTGAGAATGAGGTGGCGGTTGACTTGATGCGCTCCCTGGGACCCGCCCTCGACGGCGCGGTGTGGATCAGGGCTTCGGAATTTCGGGTGGCGGAAGACGGGATGGAGGGTTTTTGGTTTGAAGGCGGTGTCAAGGGCGAGTGGGGAGACCGATGAGCTCTAGTTACTGAGCATCAGGTAGGAACCCGGGACAAAAGCTGGCATTCACAAGAGCTGGCTATCAAGAAGTTGAGGAGTCGCATAGCACCCCGACTTAAAGATGTATTGTTTCTTTAATCGGGGTCCTCCAGTGTCGGTTTCGTTCTTCACCCGGAGCTGACACTCTCCGTTTAGAGTATTTGCTTGAGGGCTTGTTGCATCGGCTCCGTCTAAGGTTACTGCTCAGGCCATCGTGTGGCCTGCATTGTTGATGAACCAGTCAATGTGGGAACCTACATGTCCTGAACAACAGGATGTTTATCACAACAGCACCGGAAATAGGTAGTCTTAATTTTCAGAAGCCTGAAGAATAGCCTTCGCCGAAGTACGGATAAAGGTGGTGCACCATGGTAAGAGTTTGCGGTAAGAACACAAGGCGACAGATGAAGCTAGGTAACCTTGACATAAGGGGCAAGACTGGGAAGCCAAACAACTTGATTGCCGAATCGGACGAAGACAAGCCAGCACATTACAAAGAAAGTAGCGCTTCAACCTAAATTCCAGTACTCCTGCCAACTTACTAACCACTACTGCGATGGTTTCCACTGCCACCATCACCACCTCTGCCGCCGCTGCTGGCACTGCTAGTACTAATACCACCACCGCAACAACAACAACTACTACACCTACTACTACTACTACTACTACTACTACTACTACTACTCTTACTCCTACTCCTACTCCTACTCCTACTCCTACTCCTACTCCTACTCCTACTCCTGCTGCTACTGCTACTACTAGCTCTCCATTTATTTATCACTTCAAGGTAACATATATGTAATGTAGTAATGTACGTAGGAGAACAGTACGCAAAAAGGATTTAGGACGACATGTGCTATCCTTTGTATAGAGTAGCCTAGTATAACGCGATCAAACTCAGCTCTTCGTGGAGGGGTCACTCAGCCCTCCTCCATTGTTACCTGCCCTATTAAAAGCATCACAGACCCCTCTCGCTCGCCACCTATTTATCACCTCTATTTAACCTATACCTACTACAGCAGTCTGTAGTACGCAAAAGACTACGACGTGTCCTATCTCTAGTATTGAGTGGCTTAGTATGAAGGGGTCACTCAACCCTCCTCTATTATTACCTGCCCTATTAAAAGCATCACAGACCCCCCTCACTCGCCACGTTTTTATCACCTCTACGTAACCTAAAGCTACTATAGCAGTCTGTAGTGTAGTAGCACGCAAAAGACTTAGACGTGTCCAATCTCTAGTATGGAGTATACCTGTAACTTAGTATACACCATCAAAATCAGCTTGTCGTGGCCACCAGCTTGAAACAGGGTAACTGCCAGCAGTGGCCTCCGGGGAGCAAAAGAAAGGATCCAGCTTCTGCAGACTGCTGCGAGATGTCGCCCGTGACAGTGGTTAGACCCCCACTAAACACAAAAATTACCAAATAGGCGCCCCACCTGATTAAGGCCGACCCCACCCCCCTTCAGGAGGGCCCTTTTGTTTCTCGCTCCCTCTCTCTCTCTCTCTCTCTGTGTCTGTCTCTGTATATACCTACCATATGTACATACGTGCGTACATACATACCTGTGCGGCTGCATTTTGTTTATGTACATGATGTTTAATACTTATCACGTGCACCGTTGTGTATTTGTTTGTGTTTGTACTTATGTGCATGCCCGGTCGGTTCGATGTATTTTGTGGATTTGGCCTTCCACAGGCTTTCTTCTAACTGTAGACTTCGACAAGGCTTCCGCGACATCCTGTGACTGGAAAAGTAGACCGACAGCGCTTGCAGGAGCCAGTGTCGCTTTGGGGAAGGCTTGTTTGGGGCTTGAATTTCTGGGGCTTGGGGTTGAGGTTGAAGGTGTCGATTTGAAATGGCCACCCTATTGACATTTCGAGTCGTTAAGGAGGGTGGGATTGGTATTTGGCCCTTGCCACAGCGCCGGCTTGAGTTTAGGATAACGGGAAGAGAGAACACGACACCCAGTTCCTTGAACCCCGCCCCGTTCGAGTCGGACATCCCATCACCAAAACCCGAAAACACCACGACTGCCAACCTACAGAAGCCTGAAGCCCCACAGCTGCCTGCTTTTGTGCGAATGTGCGTGTCAACAGCCCCCCAGCTCAGGAGCAGCTGCAGTCGCAGAGGGACCGCGAGAAGCAGCATTGGGATCGACTCCGACGTGTGCAGAGGGAGATGCTCAGGCCGAGATGAGCGTAACCAAGACTTGGTTTTGGAAGTATAGGAAATCATGAATTGTGAAGCCTGTTCCACATTCAGGATTGTTGCCCCAGGCTTTGATTCAAAGTTTGGGGCTCAGGGTTTCCACTCCGAAACTACATGAAGTCCGACTTCGAGTTCACTGATTCACTGCTGGAGCCCTCTTGAGCAGCAGGGCAGGAACGCCGTACCGGGTCGAAGCGCTGTATTCCGATTATCTGTAAGTTTTCTCGGTCGTTTCTTACGTTTTTAGCAGTGATTGCCAGGGGTCCTGTATATTTCTCTAGAGGGCCCAACGCGACAGCCATTCGGCGACCCCAGATGCCACCTTCGTCAGCCTTCATATGATGACTCAAATCTACGCCCGTTAGACTATGAACTCTGCCGTACTCACCCTCTTAATGTATCAGGAAGCAAGAAAGACTTACAGACTCTCCAGGTCCTACCGTTCCTGGTATGCGGTCGCACTGGTGCAGGTCGCTTCGGCCGGCATACATTTACCCAGGTTACCCAAAACGCTGCAGACTCAATTCCTGGTCAATCTGACCCACGCGGCATGCTTTTCCTCTACAAAGCTCTTGGCCAGACGACCCCTGCGTGCGGGCTGTCGCGGGGGGCATTGAACTTGTATTCCTCGTTCGGGAGCTAGGGCCAGAGTACAGGCTACCCGCATCAGCCCCATGCAAAGATGCCAGAATTGAAGGCCCTTGAAGGCTACATCGTCCCACCTACCAATGTCTCGTTCTCCTTGTGCCTAAAGTGCACAGCCTGTTTACGTACTTGTCTACGTACAGCCGTTGGCTACATGCAATGCCATGTGGAGGTGAGGGCAGGTAAGCCCGACGATGTAGGCTGCCTCAGTATGCGTCTTCATCCTTCGGAGAGAACAGATGTCTCCAACGGAGCCCCGAAGCAAAACAAGGGAGCGACATCGCGGACTCCCGCGGACCCAGAACTCGATTATCGAAATGGTGGCATGAACTGGCTCAAGCGCCGACCCGAGCCTTGAACCCGGTCACCTCTATCCACAAATCCTAATCAAGCCATGTTTTCCATCAATGAACACAAAATTCACTGCCCAGTTGTCGATACCTGCTGTGCTGGTGTTCCGACTCCTCGGCGGAACCATGTGGGACTTCCTGCTGCTTGGCAGCACCTGAAACTCTTCAGAGCCTCAGCCCAAGTGGTGCATATGAAGAATCCGAGTAACATCTCAGGAAGACTCTCCCGGTGGAAAAAATTTCCGCTGGCAAGAACTTTTTTCGCAGATGATCTGCCCAATAGGGCTTTCTTGAAGGAAGCACAGCACTCCCCAAACTTCACCGCAGCGTCAGGCAGAACTTTCGCAGGCAGTCCGCCAAAGGTTTAGAGTCACTAAAAATCTTCTATACCTCGGCTGGCAGCCTGAATGCCGAGACCCTAAGCTTTTCCTGCCCAGCCACCTGGGATTCACCTTACATCGGTGTCACAGCGCCTGTATTGGTGACACCACCACTGCCATGGATCCATCCAGCGCTGCCTCGAAGATGGTGAGGCTGGCAGGCAAGCCCATTCAGGCCCTGATCACGGCTACGAAAACAGGACCACGGTTGTTCTTGCATCGCTAAGTGCAGAGTCGCTCTCCACCCTCAGTCTGTCCTTGGATGCCACGTTGACGGACCTGGAAGTCTCTTTGGCAAGTTCGCTGGGCCTAGGCTTGAACATCAGACCTCTGGCCCAGACAACCAATTGCTCGACCTTGCTGTGTGAAGAATTCTTTGAGGGAATTGAGGGAGCACGGCAGCGTCAGATTCATTCTATGACGAATTCGGAGACTGCCGCTGCTTTCTGAAGGCCATGGCAGACGAAGCCTTCAACCCCAAATGAAACAAATGTGCTGTTGAGTGGACTTTGGAGTGTGCCGCGAGGGAGCGCCAAGTCAGAGCTGTAGAGGTGGCTGAGGTGGCTGGCTTTCTGCAGACAGATGAGAACGAGCCAGAGGTGCCCGCAGACGGTTAGGGAGTTCATGCAGATCTTTGGGCGTTGTCACATCAATGGCAGAGAAGTGGAACTTTTTCAACCATAGACAGAGTTGTGTGCGCTGCACCACATCAACAAATCTAGACTTGGACAGTGGGTGGAGAAACGTGCAGAGGCCGTCAAGAAAGATAAAGACCTGTATAAAGATGACATGACGCCAGATGAGCCATTGGCGACAGGTGTCGTGACGATGATGCCCGTGCAGCTGCGTTTGTCGTGCGGGTTCCGCGCCGTGGAAGTTGTGGGAAAGCTGCACATTCCTTTGCTCTGATGTGCGGCGGCGCTGCTGCAGTGGCACTTGCATCTGAAGGATGTCACACAGGGGATCGGAGGCCTTGAACTTGAGCATGTGTTAAAAGGTCTTGTTGCAGATGCAAAGGAAGAGGTGCAGCCCGGCCTGAGAGGGGTGCTGATACTGGTATGGCTCTCCTCGAGCCATGCGACTCATGATCTCAAGCTATTCTCGCGCTTCAGCGACAATTTCGTCCACTTCATCCTCTGTTATGTGGAGGAGGCAACACCCGAAGATGTTGAAACGGCAGAGGCTCCCGACGCTGGCAGGAATAGCACCAAGAGCCAAGGTGAAAAGCTTTGGCAATTTTTGGGGAAGTCCCATGCGTGGCAGGCATGGCTAGCGCGCGGTTTTTGTAGCATAATAAACATGTATTGCAGAGACGATGTTATGCATAGGCACAGACGTAGAGTCAGAGTTTCTGAGTGTAACTTACACTCTTAAGTTATACGCGAAATTTCAGAAAGCCGTGTCGTACCAAGTTGTGCCTGAAGCTTGGAGGCGCGAAGTGGCCAGTCTCGCGTCGCAGTCATGAGTACACTCGCGTGGGTCAAGCTGGGCATTAAGGGCAGCAGTCGAGCCCCGTGTGAAAAAAGAGTGTAATTGAAATTCTGGAACGATTAACAGGCTACGCCTTACCGCCTGACCGCTCTCACATGTTTGATGGTTCGCCCTGACGGTGCGTCCTGGTGCCTCCTGCTCCTTAGAACGAGGTTGCTACTTTGCTGTACCCCCCGGGACCTGTCTTAACGAAACCACGAACCTGCATCCTGCTGCCATGGGAACGCCTACGAAGCTTGCTGCCTTACACAGCAATGGCACGCTGACACTGGTCCTGTTGCCAACTAGAGGTGACTTGACTAGCTGGGATCGCGATGAGCTTCTCAGGCAACAACAATGATGTAGGATCTGCGTTGTCGAATCATTGAGTCGTTATCTTTGGCTGCATGTTGGCTCTGACCTCCTGTGGACACAAGTGGCTTGACTGGCTGAGAGCCCGCACTCTTGGGCTGGGAATAGTCACTGCCTGAATGAGCGAATGAGTGAACTGGTAGTCACCAGCAGCCGCATCTGTTCGGTGGCATCATGGCCAGTGGTTACCTAGGATGGCCACAACATTGTCAATATTGGCCTCATCACTGGCAGTGTTTTGGGATCGACATCTGGATCCTGGAACGACCGTGAATTTGGTGAATTCTTGGGATATGAATTCGGGCAATACCTCTGTTGGTTTTGCTGCATGGGTTTGTTAGGGATGGCAACGGTACAACTGCATGCCCTGGGGACGAATACATTGAATCGTCTCTTAATTATTCTGGATGCCTGCCTTTCATTTCTGGCTGCATGACATCACATTTCCTGGCTCGACTTCATATTAATGGTGACAAAGCCGCAGGCGGCTACTGGTTTTTGAGCCCGATGCTGCCCCTCTTGAATTCTCCCACCACGAAGACTTCTGTAATTGAGTACTTGCATGACTGACACCACCAGGTGATTGTCGAACAATCAGTCGCGAACTAGACAGACACGAAGTCCTTTGGCAACTTCTGAGTAAATTCAGCTTGCAAGTGTGACAGACCGACGAAGATAGACTATTTTGAAACAGCTGAGTTAGCCAGCACGTAGGGTGAATGGCCCCGAATAACTGGATGTGCTTCTGATGGATTGCGAGGTTGGGTCATTGTTTTACTCTGTGTTGTCAGCAGCTTTTTTGTATACTTTATGCCAGATGTCATGTCCCGTAGCAAGCTCAGACCGGACACGCCATGCCTGACTTGTGCGAGTGTGTGAAGCGCCGAAACCCAAACTTGCTGCTCGGACGACGTGAAGCCATGCCTGCCAGGTGCGCGTGTGTCAGTCGAAACTTGCTGCGTCGCATCACCCGACCACAGAACAGAAGCAGAAGCTCAAAGGTGGATCCCAGAACACTCGGTGCTGCCTGCTTCCGTTGTCTGAAAGTGAGCGTCTACATCAAGCTGAAACATGCGTTCTGGAGTTTAAATTCTCGCGGGCAGGAATCAATCTCTGGATGCGAGGGTTTGATGTGGCAGAATCCAGAAATCCGAAGCCGTGGCCACGGCTGTTTTGAATCAGGTTAGCTTTGCTGTTGCGCTTGCTGGTCCTTCCCTACGCATGGATGGTGCCGCTGCAGCTTCCGGGATTTTGTGTCCGGTAGTTTAACTCTTGGAGCCGATAATTCATATCGATGACGGCTGGATAATGGGATGGTGGGATCTGAGGACATGTTTCGAAAGTGTTTTGAGCGCAAGTTCGAGCCTTCGAAGGCTCGGAGTAAAACAACAGCACTGTACCAACATCGGATTGCGGCGCTCAAGGTTTGCAGCAGTCTCGGGATGTTTCAGGTCAAGAGATGGACAGCTCAGTTGGTGAGGATCGGCTTGTTCAGCAGGTGAATGTTCAGCAGGCGAATGGTTTCGCTTGCTTTGGTTTGCAGCTTTCGCGCATGAAGGTGAAGTTCATCGCGCCAAGTTCACACGCATTCCATAGTCTTGAAAGCAACTTAGCTCATCAGCCCAGCTTCGCCAACATGAGAATATGAAGCTCTGAGACCCTGAAACCGCTAAACTGCACGCCGTAGCTCGGATCCTGCAGCGGTTGAGAAAGCCAGACTTTCACACCCTTTCGAACCCTTGGCTGTACTTACGGCTAAGCTTTCGTGTCTTGTGTGTGTGTGTGTGCTTGAGAGCTGTTTTCGATGTTCGGATCCTGGATCGGGGGAAATCCCCTGTCTTCACGAGAAGTTGAGATGGGAGTTTGTCCTAACAAGGAAGCAGGGAGGCACCAATGCAATGTAAAGTATAGAACATCTGAGACCCGGAGCTCGAAAGCCGAAAGCTGCCTGGGCAAGGCGCTGGGCTACACCCGGCTCCTGCCACTGGGCCGCCAGCATCGGCATTATGAGTGCGTCTTGGCCCGAACGCAGTTCTTAAACTTCATCTTGCGCAAACACATGCTCTGCTTATGAGTGAGCCAGACACATGTCTGCAAGCCAGATCAGCTCAGAGTCCAAAGGCTGAAACTCCCACCCAAACCCCTGCTGAAGGCCTGAGTCCGGCCGATGTGCTGCTGCTTCTCGTCGGGAGCCTGCCTGGAGTCTTTCTATGCCGGACTCAGGCGAGAAGAAGGGAAGACACTTGCAAATTGCAAAGCATCCCAGACGGTGTGAAAGGCATACAGATGCCAATACACTACTTCAATGTTCATATCCTGCAACAACAATAAACAACAATTTCATGGCTGCAGGGCACGTCGAAGGATGCTGCCTGCTTGGGTGCTTCAGCGCGGTTGTGGCTCTCGACCGGAATTTCGAACTCCTGCCTCGAACGGCTATGCAAACCAACAAGTGTGCGTGTGCGTGTGCGCGCGCATCTGAGTGTGTCGATTCATGTACATGTACACATGTGCTTTCTGTTTGTTTGTGTGCATGCATGACCGGCAGGCAGGGAAGGCAGGCAAGTAGGCAAGTAGGTGGAGAAGTAGGTATGCATGTAGGTAGATATGCATGCAAGCTCTTGTGTATGAACTCATGCATGCATGCATTTGTGTATCTGTGCACATCCTGAACGTGGAACGGTAATCTCGCTGGTGGGTCCTGTTTTTGAGACTTTAGTCTAATGATGTTCTAACGCATACCTGGCCTTTCCCTGCTGTTGATTAGGTGAGGAAGGCTTGCCGCTCTGCATCGAAGCAATTGAGATTCCAAACATGGGGCCCGGACCCTTGTAGTACTATGTATTGCATGCGAGGCTCCAGACGAGGGAACATAGCCTACATCAAAGTTGAACATATACGCCTGCCATCCTGCTAGCATGCTATGCGCGGTGCTGAAGCCAGGCCAAAACCAAAGCAAACAACCCCCGAGCTTGAGACCCAGAGCATCTACCAGCGAGCCCAATCTGCAAACACTCCCCAGCCCTAGGAACTATTATGGGCTCCAGACTACAAAACGATTTCAGGAGCCCTGGATTAGCCTGGATTGGTCGAGGGGTTGAGTTTGGCCAAAGCATTTCTGTAAGCTTAGCCATTACCCAACTGTACGACCAGTGAATGCATGGAGTCGTTTTCCCAAGTCACGGGATGGGGGGGGCCCTGGTTAAGATGCAAAACATAATAAAGGCCTGACTTTGAAGTACATAGTATGGAATGGAGTCTGTGGCTTTTCTCGCTGCAAACTTGGAATCATCTCGACCCCTGCAGGCCCACAAACACCGAAACCCTAAACTGAGCGCTAGAGCCCTATTTAGACTTGCCTACACCCTGAATCCTGAAGCATTAACTTATTAAACCCCATGCCCAAAGCACCAAAACCCTACACACCCATATAGCGGCTTGGATCTCGACATACCTGCTTGCAGCTTAGACTGCTTGCATCCGAGCTGTTGATTACAGTTCCAAGTGCTTGCACAGTATGTTGGTGGTGAAGTCTCGAACTGCGTCCAGGCTGCACTTCTGTCTCTGCTTGCGTGGAAGCGGCGTCACCCAGAGTCTTGGCAGAAATGTGCTCCGGGTGTGGTAGCACAGGGTTTCAATGCGAAAGAGAGGTTGGGCGTCGTCCTGCTGGAGCCCCTAAGCTCCTTCGCAGGCCACACAAAACGGTTTGTGAGACCTCTTGTCTGCGCAACCTTGACAAGAATCCGCGAAGAAGCAAGGGTCGCGTGTCATCATGAGCCATGAGCGCTTGAGAGGGCATTAATACCTGCCCCAAGCACACAAAGCCTTATGCTGAGAAGACTTCGGGACTCTCAACACCCCCCTATAATTCCCCGTAGTTAATCTGGGACAAAAGTGAATTCCTTGGCACTAGCAGGCCGGAAAACCTGCCGTGGCTGCCGTGCTTCCGCCCATGGCACTGCTTGTGCTCCTCTTAGCCCTGCAGGCCGGTCCTGAGAGACCCTAAAGGTTTTTGTGGGTTTTCAGAGAGACCCAGTTAAAGGGGTGCCGGGGGTGAGGGGCGGTGGGGGGAGAGCATAAAGAGGCTTAAGTTAGGAACTCAGGCAGCAAATACTAAATGGCTTTGGAGTGTCTTGTCCGAGTTACAGGTTTTCATGGTGACGGGCGTATAGAAGTTTTGCAGGCTTCCCTATGATTGCAGGGTTTGAAGAGCCTCGTCGTTGCTGAGTTATGTTATTGGTTGAGCGAAAGGCAGGGTCTGTTTGCAAGGCAGCAGCTGCAGCATCATTTCGCGCATAGACAAAGGAGTGGCCGCTGAACGCGCAGGAATCCATGTCGGCTAAGCTAAGTCATCCACAGCGTCAAGAACCCATGAAGCCGAAGGAGGAGGAAAGTGGCAGAGCAGCAGTGGTAGTGCTGGCAGTAGTAGTCGTCGTCGTCGTCGTAGTAGTAGTAGTAGCCGGAGATCGCAGCGGCAGCATGGGGATGAGCAGGTGTTGCTTTTACACTCATGGCTGTTTCAGATCGAGACTCATCGAGACTCACAGTGACAGCAAAGGCGCCGCCAGCTCTGGAGGCACTACTTTGTGCAGGACGGATGTAATCTCTGACATGAGCTGGCCTGGGGTTCAGGGCTGTGGCGGCCAGTGTTCTTTCTTAGATGTTCTTTGGGCCATGGCGGCAATTAAGCTCTTCGACCTTTCAATCTTGAAGCCCCAAACCATTAATGAGCATTAGGGCTGGGGTGCTGAGGGGTCGCAGATGGTTCTTTGCGGCTTTGCACCGGGTTTGGCGTTCCTTAAACGGTTCTTGCGCGGGGTCCTCACGGCCTCAGGGTTCACGGTTAAGGAGCTTGCTGGGCTGCGGGGATCCTTTCAGAAGATTTGGTTGATCCACCTCTCTGCGCGGAGGACCTGCTACGCACGGTGCAAGCAGCCTCGGGACTAGAACGGTAAACGCTGGCAATTCTGACACCACCTCAATCTAAGCATAAATCCCACGCCCCACAGAATGCCCCACAGAATGCCCTCGTCAGCTACGTGGGTGGGAAGACAAGGCCCGAGAATGTTAACTCTAAAGCAGCCCCCCCGTGTGCAAAACTCATCGGATGGCATTCTCAGGTGGAGAAACCTTGTCAGCAGACCTCCAACCACATGCCTCGCCTGGAGTGTCCGAGGGTGAGCGCCGAAACTCGGGAAGCCCCGAAGCTGTCAACAAGGAACACCTTCCGATGGTAGTTGAGGCCTCCGAGATGTGAACTTGACCGGAAGCTTCCACTTCCATTCCTTAAGCCTTGTGGCCCCAAAGACATAAGCCTAGCACGCGAGGCGGCGTTGCTGCGAGAGCCCTTGAGAAGCTTAACGAGTAAACCCTGAGCATTTGCATATTCGGACTCGTCGGGTTGGAGCTGTGGGGGCTTTTCGGGCCATGCTGTCTTACGAAGGGATGTGCTGTCGCTTACTTCGTTTGGTGTTGAGGCCTTGCACTTTTTATGGGCCAGACGGCTCTTCATGTAGAAAGTAGCGTACGAAAGTCAGGCTGTCTGTCCAAACCAGCAGAGAATCAATCCAAGGGAGGCGCTCTCCGGCCACAGACCTTTTGGGAGATTCCCTGCAGGATTTGTGATCCTTCGAAGCTGCTGTCCATCTGGAGATCGGCATCCCGTTTGCGGCAGGCAAAGTTCAAAGGCTGTTTTGGCACGGGTTGTTGGTACTGAAGACGGCACCTGCAGAGGTTAAGTCGCCCACTTCTCGGCAAAGTCAGGACGCGGACCCCCCCCCCTCCTCCCTCCCCCCAACCCTTTTCGGGTTCAGGGTTGAGGGTTAGGACGGCTTGTGTTTTGCATGGGGGGGAGGGGAGGGGAGGGGGCTCTCTTTACTGCAGAGGGTCCAGGCCGTTTCGGAAGAAGGGTAGCGTAGGAACCCAGTATTTGACTCAAACGCGTACTCACTACTCGAATTGTGTTGGCCCCTGTTAAAGCAACCGACATGCAGAAGCGGTGCAGCTTGAGCCTCATGCAAGACTCGAGTATATTCTGAAGCCACACCGCCTCCAGCACAAGACCACCGCAGCAAATACCGAGGTAGAGCAGCAGCAGTAGCAGTGCCAGTCATTATCTAAGTGACCTAGTGAGTTTACGAAACAGTACGGATGACAGAATGATTGACAGCCTTCTTCCTTGAGTTTGGGTCCCAGGAACCCTTTCAGAACTTCTGGCAGAGTGCCATGTTTCCTCTTGGCAAGCAGAGCACAAGCTACATAAGGCTTGAGAGACCGGATAAACACAAGCTTCCGATAGTTGGGGTATTAACATAAAGGCCACCCCAGGGATAGGAATGCTAGAAACCCGACGCGGAGCACGAATTCTACATGATCAGCTTTCAGATGGAAGAACATTATCTCGAGCAGTGGGATGCTTGGCAAGGGCTGAGAACCAGAGACCTAATGCCATCACACGTCAGCGCGCAGAGCGAAGCACCCAGAAGCCTGCACCCTATACATCAACGCCCAAGAAAATTCAGGTACTTGTTGCCCAGCCTGCCTGTCAGCTTCTACATTGTGCTGCCAAAGTGGCTAAGCGATGACTCTGGGCCCACTCGAAAGTGTGCAGGTGCTCAAGATTTCGACTTTGCGGGCTCAGGGATTCTGGCTTAGGATTTGGGATCTGTAGCTTGAGCGTTCAGGGATCTGAGTCCGGACTTCGTTATGGATTGCTCAGGCCTTGCTTCAGCTGCTGCTTCCGGAGCGTCGGGGCATTCACGGTAGTGGTGATGTGACTCTGCTTAGGGAGTGAAAGCAGCCAAACCAAGATCTGGCAACCACAAGTTCTGATGATGCCCGTTGTTGTTCTACTGCGGCTCCATGCCCGAATTCCCACAGATTAGGATGTTTGGTTGGGGCTGTCTACAGTTTTACGTTGAAGCTGCGAGCTGAGGAGACTCAGTGGCGCGTGGACCATGGACACTTGGCATAGACTGTCCCCTTAACTTGTCAACGAACTAGGGTTTCCTGCGCTGCACGCTGCCTTACGAGTCAAGGCCCCGCGTGTCCTAGTGATCCCTTGTATCATTGCATGTCAAAGACTCGGCAGGCTGTAAATACGAAAGTCTAGACTTGAGGTGTCTACTTCAATTCCTTGATCCGCTGTCATTCAAGGTCCAGCACGTTCGTTCGTTCCATCAAGGGTTAGTTATTCCCGCAAGCTGCAGCGCAGCTACTGCTTTCACCAAGTAACCCGTTGTTTTCCTCACACGGCTTACTACCATGGTAGTTGGGTTTCGGGTTCGAGGTTTGGGGTTCTCGGAGGGTGGCCCGGGCCGGCCGATGCGATGAGATCTTCGAAAGATCATACAGACGAAAAAAACCCCGACAGGCTGCAGAGCATGCCGACTGTGATCCGTAACCCGCACACTTCAAATTCTTGGAACCGAAACCTTGCTTGGCCACCTGTCCCCATTGATTGCTGCCTTTCTATGTGCAGTTTGGATGTGTGACATGTAATGAGGTTCAATTACAAAGTCGAGTCTACGTGCAACCCTCAGCCCGACAACAGAAAGTCGCAAAACTAACAGCCCCTCACCTACTCCGAAACCCTGAATATCCTTTATTCATAGGCGCCTCAATGCATACTGAGTAGACTCAATATCATTTTATGGCAATTTCATGGAGCATTCCTTGCGCTAGGGGGCTTCGGCCTCAAGTTACTTTTCAAGCACGATTCGAGGTGCTTGGCTCCCCCGTCGCATGCTCTGCCGACTCCTGTGCAGTGCTAAGCCCTCGTGGGAGGACTCTTTGAACTTCGAGGACCTTCCTGACCCTTCTGCTTAGGCTTGTTCTAAGCTGTGGTTTTAGATGCAAGTTGGAGGGCGTTGCATTAGCTTAAGGTGTCGGGCGTCGGACTTCGGAGCTGCGATGCCGTGCCATCCTGGCTGTCGAACATCGCTTGCGCGTGTAAGGCTGAGGGTTTGGGGCCAGAAGGCTTGAACCCAGAGTTGCTCTACACACTTTGCGGTGCCCCAGTAGGTTGGAGAGTTTATAACGTACAGGTAGCGATGCGTTTGCGCAAAAGTCACCCTTCGACAGGCACGGAATGTGAGATTCGAAACCTCTCGAAGATCACGAAAACACCCGAGGACTCGTAAAGTCGATTCCCAGCGTAGTCTTTGCGATCTCGCGTGGCAGCAGCCCAAAATCCCGAACCGTGAATCCCCAGAGATGGGATTGAGGATTGTAGTCAGGTGCACAAGAAAGAAGCCCAGCAACTTCTATGCAGGCTGAAGAGCCCTGGCGAGCCTAAAGAGGTTAAACGTGCGCACCTAGGGGCCACCACATCGAGATGCCTACAGAAATCTGGAGCATGCAAGATCCCCGACAAACTCTTGCAGTAGCTTGTGGAGTTTGTCGTCGCGGTCATGCTGTGAGAGGTAAGAAAGGCCCCAACTCAGGAGCCTCCTCCTTTATCACCCCTGGCTACAGGACAAGGGACGGGCTGTGAAGATCCTGTTTGGAAACCAAGGCAGCTCGCCCAGATCAGCAGGCTTGCGAGTAACTACAGGCTCGGGCTTGAGTCAGGGTTGAAGTTGAAGGGACGAGCGGTGGCGAAAGCGATTGGGACTTGGGGTTTCCATTGCCATCTACGGTTCACAGATTCCGGTGGTGGTTTCTGGCCAGCAGCGAATGTCACTTAGTTTGTATCCCAAGATTGATAAGTGTATGCAACTCGCTCGAGGCTAACTGAAACGTCGACAAGAGCAAAGCCAATCCCAGCAATGCCCTGCGAAAAGATATTGGCATGCATAGGGGATGATCGCGTATCCGAAACCATCTGGTATCAACCGACATAGTCGGATAGAAAATAGCCGTGACATTCACATCTGGAATCTCTGAACCTGAGTTGGTGATGTCACCGTCTCCCTGCCGAAGAGCCGAACGTGCATTTCAGGCTCCATCATCCACTAAAGAGCACTTCCATAGAAGAGCTTCTGACTGGCCTGTCGCTGCAGCAACTCAGTCACGAAATGCCACCATCCCTCTCCACTCCTCACACGCCCCATGCAACGAACCCCAACCCTGAGACCAAGCGAATCTCGCAGCCCCTCCTGTTTCACATCATGCCAAGGCCCAGTGCGCGTGGCGAAGGCGAATCAGGCCAGTGCATTTCATGGTTGAGGAACAAGCAGTGTCGTGTCTGACGAAGTGTTAGACGGCCGCGC